TCGAGACCAATACTATCGATACCAAAACCATATCAAAACCAATACCAGGACTATCGAAACTATATCAAAACCAATACCAAAACCATCAAAACTATATCAAAACCAATACCAAGATCGTCAAAACTATATCAAAACCAATATTTTGAAACCAAAACTATATCGAAACCAATACTCCAAAACCAAGAGTTTTGGCTTTGGTGCATGCCTAATTCTGTCTTTAAATGACACTACTTTTCTTTTTTTAAGGTTCATAAAATATGTCTATTAGTGATAATTGATAGAAATAAAGCTAGTCGATAAATTCTTAAAGAAAAAAAGATTGAATATTAACTTTTTATTTTTAAATTTTACTTAGTATTTTATTCGATTATATTGACATTTAAAACAAAGTCATGAGTTAATAATAATATTCTCGTAATGATATCGGGTAGCAGCCCATGTTGATGGTAAACGATTTTGTAAGGTTTTGACAAAATCATGTTTATTTCTACGTTTATCATGTTCATAGAAAACATGCAGTGTTCGAAAGATTAATCAAATAATGAACTAATGCTAAAATACACACCGATTTTTCCATTTCCATAGCTAGTGTTCGACATTGCTTGCTCAACGGTGATCGAATTAATGCCGCTCATTCTTTACAATTAAAACGATGGCGACGATCAGATCGATCACGACCTTCTAAATCAAGTCGACGTACTGATGAACTTGTATATTGATATGGTGGTATTGCCGAAGTGTTCCAAGATTCAAATCCGAGTGAGAACAGATGGGATACATGATCAAGTAATGCTTGCAATTGCAATTGATAGATTTCCGTTGGAATAACTACATTAAGCGAAAATAAATTTTCAAACATGGGAATAACTGAAAAAAAACGATGATCAGTTGAAAGTTTAAGACTTAATATTTCAATGTTGTTGAGTTTGATATTAGATAATGATTCTTCATTGAACAGCGAAAGTTCATATCTGATCTTATCAACAGAATCATAAGAAAAATATATATCAGCTGGACAAGTTGATTTTGTATGATAGTTTAAATTGTTGCGGAACAGAGGAAAATCATCAAATACATACAGTAATGAATAAATACGAATCGAAAGATCATCTATCCATTGTCTCCAATGACATTGAATAAACCATTGATGATGTTCTATCCGAAACGGTGTACGATATGTAGCAATATATTGATCAACTTTTCCTTTATTCGTTTGATCATTAATTGAGCAACCAAGGTTCAAATCTAACTTAAATCATAAAACTTTAAGTTGAGATAAATGACATTAGGTAATAATTGAAATAAATTAATCATTAGACGTTGTGAACATATTGATGATCGAACGAGTTTTGTAATTGATAAATTTTGAGCTAATGATTTAAATGTATGAACAAGAGGAAGATCATCTTCTTCATAAGTATCCAACGATGAGGAAAATTTTCGTAAACAAGATATCTTTTCTAACAAATGAGGAAGTTCATGCGAATACCATTTATTCTGGTGAATAGTTAAGTATTGTAACGATGTTGATACGCAAGTAGGTATAGGAAAATAATTGTCAACTATGAAACGGATATCCCAATATAAATGAGTCAGTTTCGGTAGATTCCAAATTTGATCAATCACATCTTGAAAATCTTTTATGACAATGTAAGTTCGAAAAAAAAATGTTGATTTATTTTCTGATCTGAACTAAAACTATTGAATGTTAATGAACGAAGATTATTGAATCGACCTATTGTAAGATAAGTGGATTGAAAATGAGCACATTGATATGGTGTATCTTCATCATCAGATAATTGAAGGTAAATTATACGATTGATTATCAATGGAAAATACATTTGATAGAATGTATTAAAATCTCTTTTGAGTATTGAACGAAAATCGACACAATAAGCTTGAAAATGAATTAATAATAACAAATTAAAGTGAGTATTTAGATCATAAAAAGCGTGAAAAAGATTAAATGCATCAAATAATTCGAATAAATCAAGGAATAAATCGTTTGATAATGATTCTAATGTCTTTTTATTTATCGTCATTGCTGCGTCAGAATCTAAAACAAATGAATGCTTGTTACTTAGTTTTATTAAGAAAGATCGTCAGTTCTTGCTTGAATTCATTCGAAAATATGATGAACTTAGAAAAACACAATGTTCATGTAATATTGGGCGATCCATTTAAATGCTTCATGTTCTAATTTCTGTTATTCATATATACATGGCATATAGGTTTATCGAAGAAAACAAGAACTTTAAGGGTGACGATCATGCAAAAAACAAAACAACTATTAGATCAATATAGGAAAAAAAAGATTATAATAGAGATGATACACATCGCTATACTACACTTTAGTCAATCTTAAAAGTAGAACAAAGGTAAACAAGGGTGAAGGCGTGGGTATATGCATGGGTCAATCGGTGACTGGGTGTGGGTGTGGAGCATAGAATAAAACGTGCACGCACGCACGCACGCACGCACATCTACACCCACACCCTCCTTTCTACTTCTGAATTGATTGATAAAAAAGTATGTTTACTTGAATCAACTGATTGGGCAGGAGGTCAAATGACCAGTGAATTATTAAGTGCACCAGATTTTGCTGGTTATAAATTAAATGATAGTAGTGGATTTACACTTGACGTTGGTGTTATTAATCTTCAATTAGAAAATCGAAATCCTTTATTTGCATAAATGTTGAATATTCTTGGAAATACAGGTCTTTGTTCTGTATCACCAATTTGTTCCATATCAGATAAATTTCATTCTCCAGCTGTTTTACCTTTGACAAAAAATCTTCGAATTTTTTATAATACCATCATTAAACATATTGATAAAGATATTAGTGGTCGTCGTATAACAAAAATTGATGCTATTCAACGAACTTCAAGTGAAGGAGAAAATCAATGTCGATTTTTATCTGAAGAGTTACCGGATTGGTATTCTTATAATGATAGTTTATGGTTTAATATTTGTAAATTATCATTTACAAATATATCGTATGTTATTGAAGGAAGTTCATGAGGTGAAGTATTAGTTATAGCTAATGCAAGTTATCTTCAAGGTATAACGGAAGAATTTGACGGTGATATATCTGGTAATGCAACTTAGTCATGTGGTCAAATATTTACTATTGATTTTCTTGAATGACTTTGTGAAAAATCTGTTGATGAACCACCTAATCCATTATCTGAACCCAGTGGTAGAGGTGAATATTCATTATTAGGATGTCCATGGACTTATCGACATGCAAATACATCATCAACTGATATAAATATCGTTGCTGTTAATGATACAATTATTCAAAATCGTGTTAGAGGAAGTGATTATGGCAGAAAATTTCTTTTCTTGTCTCCAACTGAATCGTCATGTCATTGTGATATTGGTTTATGGAGAGGTGAAATTAGTTTAGAAGCATTAAGAGGTGGTGAGGAACAATCGTATGGTTGGTATTATTGGTTTCGTGCAAATGCAACAATAGAATGGACTAATCGAACTATATTTCTCAATTCATTATTATGGACGGGAACTTGTCATGATTTAGCTAAAATGCCTTGTTTACGTGAATCACGTCGTTCAATTGGAATAAATAATTTTCTAATGAGTATTTTAACAATCAATCGAAGTGCATCTGATCTTCATGGATATATATATTTCATGATCGTATTTATCTTGGTGCTTATGATGTTGATATTCATCGAATGAAATTATGTTAATATTCCTCTTATATTCGATAAAATTATTCTATTCTTCCTTATTATATCCCATTATGTGCAATGACTAATCGAGATATTGATAATTTAATTGTTATTGGAAAAACTATGGCACAAACATTTCTCGTTAATGCAGCAACTCGATTACATCCAGTAGAATTTTCTAATGGTCAAGCAGGTGGTGCAGCTGCAGCTTATGCCATTATGAATCAATTAAACAGAATCGATCAATTACTCGAAGAAAAACATCTTATCCGTTTACAATCATTAGTTAAAACATTTACACCATTATCATGAACAATCAATGGTAAACGTTATCCGAATGATTAAAAAGAAACAGTTTTTCACAATTATACTATGTTAAAAATGCTGTTCTAGTTTTAAATAATAACTAGAACATATAACTATATAAGAAGAAATACGATAATAGTAACAAATGAAATACAAATAGGTTTAGAACGATACAAATCAAACTGGAACGAAAAGATATATAAGATTTAACAGGGTGTGCGTGTGAGTGTTCAGATGCGTGCAAATTAAACCCACACCCGCCTTCCCTTTTTACCGAACCTTTGCCAAGGAAAAGAGAGTTTGTAACTTCGTTTGAAATAACCGAGCTTAGAAAAGATTCGAAAATTTTGAACTGCACTTAAAAAAGGCTCGACAATCTCATGTCGAACCAAAAACATTCTTCCACTGTCGACAGGGTGGATGGATAAGCATGGATGCATGCGAATGAGTAGATGAAGGGGTATGGATGTGAATCGTTTATCAGCTACTCACATCCTACACTACAAATTTTTGGCTAGCAAAGCTACAGGAAGCATGTTCAGGTAACTTGGTAAATATCGCACTGAATACATGCCTTAGAATCAGAAGTAATGCTAATTTAACGATAAAATCTTGACAGTGTAAGTGAGAAAAGCGGAGCTTGTCTAACAAATGACTCATACGAACACGGACACTTAAATTCGAAACGAGGTATTATTAAGTATGTTAATACAACATTTCTAGGTGATAGCGTAGGTTTTCGTTGAGTACCATCATTGAGCTGTCGACGAATCAGTGGAGATTGTCAAATCAAGATATGATCATGGGTTTTACATTTTACATCGTGAAACTATTAGTCAAAAAGGATAGGGTGTGGATGTGAGTGTGAGTATGGCTAAATAGAGAACTCAAATCCACACTCCTCTCAAGTGCATCCCTAAGTATGATGATGAAAACTAAAGAAACTTTGTTGTTATAGATCTTTCTCATTCGAGATTCATTCTAGAATTCTACCTAATAAACTAGCTTTTATTTCATCAACTGGATATGTCACTTCACACTAGCCGAAGTGAACAATTGAAGATGCGAAATTACAAGTATTTTTTCAGTCATAACACTTTGTTCTATAAAATTTTGTTTGAACTGATTGATCTAGGGATCTTCGAAGCGTCAGCAGAATATCAGCCAACTGGCTTACTGCGTATTTTACCCACAGTTTCCCACTGTGCTTTCTGACAACGCTGCGGAGGCAAACCTTTGAGAATCAGTTCAATATCGTCTACCACCAAGCGTCCCATCAGCGGCCAAATCTCAGGAATATTGCCTGCTCGATGCGCCTGCAAAAGTGTATTAGGCGTGCTTCTTGCTCGATGATCGGCCGCTATTGGCTCCTCTGGCCATACGTCGATAGCCACACGTAAATGCCCGTCAGCAGCAGCATCCAACAATTCGTCGAAGTTCACGATAGCAGCACGACTGACCAGTATGACAATCGAACCACGAGCCATGCTTCGAAAATAGCGCGCACCGATCTGGCCTTGGTTCTCAGTTGTAGCAGCAGCGACTAGAAAGACGACCGTTGAGCGAGAGAAGCAGTCTTCGAGGGAAGCAGGAATGACATTCATCTCTGCCAAGACGCTTGAGTGAACCCATGGATCGTGTACGAGAATTTCCTTTGCGAGCGGCTTTAACATAGGTAGAAGGGCACGGCCCACGTTGCCACAACCTACTAAGCTCAGTGTACATCCGCTCAGAAGAATAGAATCGAAATTGTCTCCTTCACCATAGAGAGACTCTTCACGTCTTCGGATCGCGGCGTCTGCCTCATGCATACGCCTTGCACACGAGAAAGCCATGGCGAGTGCCAGTTCGGCTACCGGTTTGGCAAAGACGGGTGCGGTTGAAAGAACGTGAATTCCGCGCCGATGGCACTCGAGGTAATCAACGTTTGGCAGAAAATTGCTCTCGACGTTGAAAACTGCTCTGAGCAGAGGCGCGCGGTCCAGGCGTTCTTTAGGCAGTGCCGATTGCCCAATGAGCACCGTAGCGTTCGGCAGATGACGATCGATGTAGTCGTCGAGTGCGGGCGTGGATTCATCATCAGGCCAGAGAACCTCGCCGAGGCTTTCCAAGCGTGCCTTTGTGGTAGCATCAAAGATTTGGTTGATAGAGCGAGGGTAGGAATCTAGGAGGATCAGCGGGCGCTTAGTAATGCTGGATTCGACCATGTTTATGGCAAGATCATGCAGCAATAATTTTCTACAAGAAAGAAGCTGAGTCTTCTATATTTGTTACCATATCAAACAGTATAGTCGTTTCTCCAGAGTTCTTTATTCCTGAAACTCATGAGTTTACTAAAATTCGGTTCTAAAAATAGTTTTTGATCTAGGTAAGTGCCCAATTTCAATGAAAAGTAAGCCCAATGAAAACTGATTTTGATTCTCACCTTGTATAAGCAGTGAAAGGAACAAACTCAAAACATAAAATAAAGTCTTACTTCTTCTTTCCTTCTTCTATGAGCGCTTTCAATCCAGTAGAGAGAAGGCAAATAAGAAACACTTCACCACAAGCTTTTACTTTTAGTTTATTATATTTTCATGAGTCATATTTGCTCCCTTATCGCGTTTCATCTTTAGATAGAAGAATATACACACTTTCATTTCTATATCGCATGCATTTCGCAAAAAATACAGAAAGAGAGAAGTTTCAAGTTGGCGATTTTTAAAAGTAACGATCTCGAGAGAGTATTGAGCAGAAAATGCACGTCAGAACTTGTTTCGGAGAGTAGATGGGTCAATCTCTACTTTTCAAAAGCAAACTTGAGGATATGAGTATGGCTGTGATGTTTGGGTGGGTGTTGGTGAAAAGAAGATCGGCACACATCCACCCACCCTCAGAAGGACTTTTCACTAAAATTTTCAAGCGATTCGGTCGAGACTGAAGGCTAGATCTTACAGCTTCGTAGAAGTTTCTAGTTTGAAGACTATTTCTCAGTCATTTCACAGTAATTTCTTACCAAATTTATTTGGAAGATAACTATGACATTGTGCTTTCGAATAAAGGATTGCGCGAAAATAGATGTCAAAAAGCGATCGAGATATAGCTATCATAAGGTGAAAATAGTGTTGAACTAATAACTCCAGTACATGTCAACTGATTGAGGTCAGATTGGTGCTTACGATCAAGGTTCACCGTGGTCTATATGCACCAAAAATATCAGCCCGTAATCATGAGAAATAGTATCATTTCATGGGGGACAGGTACTTTTGTTCGGGACTGTATTTCTCTTGAGTGTATCCTGCTTGCACGCCTCCGATAGATACAAAAAAAAAAGATGAAAAGAGCAGTAAACGAGGGTCGAAAGGATGTGAATGTTACGGGAAATAGGTGATTGGTTCAGTATGTGCCCGAGGCTAAAAGTGTGTAGTGTTGAATTTAACAATAAGGGACGCGTGAATAACGTAACGACAGCTACATCATCTCTTTCTTTTTTTACATTCATAACTGTAACGCTCCCGCTTGAGTACACTGTATGGCATAATGACCGTATTGTTCTGATATTTTCGTCCTTATACTTTGTCCTTATATCTCTTTCTTCCCATATATGGTCTTATCATTCTTTCCTTCTCTCTGATGGATAAGTATATAAGCATATGTTTTGTATGGAAGCGATGCGATTCTTGATAAGAAGAAATATAATAAAGTGTAGTTCCATCAGCGCTAACTCTTCTTCTATCTAAAATCGTCACAATAACAACTTATTGTTTAATAGCAATAGATCTTATTGTCGACGAGCTTTCATTTAATATAAAATCTATTCTTAATCGTTGAAATCATAATGCTACTGTGACAAAAAATGATAGAAGGGATGTTAGTGTCGATGCAGTTACATTTTATTCTATCCCCTCATATCATACAACCGTATCGTTTACATGTAAAGTACACGCTTATATACACGAGTAGAATAAGAGAGGATGAAAAGAAAGAAGATGAGGCCAAGAAGAGAACAATGTAAGAATAAAAAAGTAATGAGGCCAAGGAGAGAACACATATAGAAGGACAATAGAGTAAGGACATAGCGTATGAATAGATAGGTGAGAACAATACATATAATATACGAGTGAATAATGATATATAATGAGAAGTTCATTACAGCATATGAACACTACATGTCATTGATTGTATAGCAGCACAGTGAGAAAGAAAAGATATCACGTAAGATAGTATGCCCATTGTCACAGCTACCCTATGAAAAAATATTACTTTATATCCTTTACATTCTCACATAAATAAATTTTGCGCAAAAGATGAAGCAAGGTAACTTGCTACGTACATAAAGAATCTTTGTGAGTTCTGCATAATTAATAGCAAAAAATATATATCTGATCAAATATATAATATATTTTATTGTTATATTTCCAGATAATATGTTAAATATGCGAGAAGAATATCAATTATAAACTTAGATTTTGAATTAGAATTTATCTTAAAATTATGCTCTTTACAACAAAAAAACATCTCGTTAGTCATCAACTTATTATCATCTATATTGTTTTCGTTGAGACTGCAGCAAACCACTCCCTACTTTTATATTGATAAGAGCTGAGTCCCTTCTTTGTCTCTCTTAATTTTTCCTTTTGACTATTATCTATATAAACTTATGTTCTATGACAGATAAGCATAAATAAGCATGCGAGGTAGTCTACCTGGTCAAAAATTTGTGCAACTAATAAAATATTTCTTTAAACATTTATAATTAGTATTAGTTGTACGGATGTCAAGATTCCCGTTCCTTTGAGTTCCGTTCCCATGGAACACGTTAGCATTTGACAATTCGCTTTTGCGTATTTTTGCATATGTTAGGATGCTCAGGTATAGTTTTTATTTTATTTTATGATAAGTCACTGTGGGTTTTCCAAATCCTAAGGACGGGAATCTGCAGAGAATTTCAGGTTCACAAGAACGAAAACCCTCAATGAATTCTGAGCTTCTAGAAATGGAATCCAAAACTGACAGACCTAATTGGTTGCTATTTCTTAGGTTTTAGAAAGTGTTGCTTCCAATGTATATTGCTATTTTATTTAAGATTAATACAATCGAAATTCTTTAGTGAAATAAACCATTATTAAGTATTTATTAATACATCTAATGTCTTATACGGTAACATCGACACCATCTCTTACTCTTCCTGTTACAAATTCAATTTCGCTTACGGCTTCTGATATTAATTCTTATCGTGAAAATGGTTATCATGTTATACCTAATCTTCTTTCTCCTTCTCAACTTCAACAATGGCGAACAATCATATTCACTGCAGTAAAAGATCGAGCAGAGAGAAAATATAAACTTCCTACATCAGATGAAGAAGATCATACCAATGTTGACTTCGATTATTATGATAATGTATTCACACAGCGTATTAATTTATGGCAAACGCACAATTCTGTTAAAGAACTATTATTGGAAAGTGGAAGTGTTATTGGAAAGATTGCTGCTGAATTAGAAGGTATTGATTGTGTTAGAATTTGGCATGATCAAGCATTAATTAAAGAACCATTTGCAAATCCTACTGCCTGGTAAAATTAATGTATTCTTTTATATTCATCTTTTTTTTTCTTCATAAAGGCATTTTGATGTTACATATTGGTCGTTCACTTCTTTACATGCAATAAGTGTTTGGATAGCATTGGATGATGCAACATTGGAAAATGGTTGTATGTATTTTATGCCTGGATCACATAAAGTAAGACTTATACATGCATGAAAAAAAAGTAAAAAGATGTTGTTAATTGATTATGTGATTTTTTTTTAAATCATCAAAAATCTAATATATAGATAAAAGAATTCGGTTACATTTGTTTTTATCTGTTCTCTTCCTTCGATCTTGCTGAGGTTCAGTATTTGGTAGAATATGGTTTCTTTGAAAAGTTAGAACTCTATTCTTTCGTTCACATTTTTATTATTCTATGAAGAGCTTGAAATCAAATTGGTTTTTTAGGTTATAGAACGTCATTATTATGCATCAAACAATACATTTCCGGAAATAAAAATCGGTAAAAATATGTCTGATATATTTGGTACTTATCCAGAACTAAAGCAGTGGCCAACAGTAGCTGTACCAATGAAAGCAGGCAGTGCTTCGTTTCATAGTGCTCTTCTAATTCATGGTGCTGGTCCCAATATGACACCAGGAAGGAGACCTGCAATGACTATTCAAATGTAAGCAAAATTATGAGAAAAGAAATTCAGTCATTTATAGTATTATAATCATGTTCTATTTATTTAGGATGCCGGATAATATGATTTTTAATGGTAAACAAAATATTTTAACAAAAGAACAAATGGATAAATTACAAATAGGTGTCTCTGTTTTCAATGATGATAATTGTAATCCCATATTATATAAAAAAAATTAAATAAAATATATCATTTCTAAATAAAATAAGTTAAAGAACATCGGCAAAATCTATAATTATAAAATCCTTCTATGCATGTCAAAACAGTATGATTTAGCTATAGGATGCTTTCGAGAAAAACATTATTCTGTATTATTGCTCATAGTAGTGGACATCAAAAGTTGTTAGATATGACCACGATCCAAAAATTGTATATTCTATAGAAGTCTACTCACCAAAAGTAATAGACAGATCTGTAGATTAATAGTAGCTGGGAAAATCAAGGCGTCTTTGATAATTGAGGAAATTCAATAGAATTCGAATGTTTAGACAGTCATGGAGAAACCTTAATGCCTATGAATACGAGTAGAAATCAAGAAACTTAAGGAATTCAAACAAATCTAGCAAATGTAGCAATTCAACAGAATTCTTCATTACCATTTCAGAAGAGAATGCCTTCATATTTACTGTCGAAAATTGTGTTCGAAATGAAGAAATTAGAGCAAATCAAGTATCTTGAGATTAAGTAATTACTCTGAATTATTGGTTAAGTAGAATTCTATAGAATTTTCTTAAATTTCCAATTCGTGGACGGCAGAGACCGGATAAGTAAAAGTACTTGTACTCATGAAAAGGTACTTAGGACTTGTACTTGTACTTTGTATTATTGATTCAAGTACTAGTCCTTTAAATTCTTTTGGATACTATCCTTCATCCGTAATGTTAGCAGTGAGTACAGAAAACCGTTCTCTTTTGATGTGTACACTCGACATCTCTAGCTTGTTGCGTTCCAGAATTGCAATGGTTTTCCAGAGACTCCAGATATCTGCTTCTTAAGTTTACATCACCCTCGAAACAGGTTAAGACAGGGCTAATTAATTGCGTTGAGTTCGGTAGTGACGCTTATTTTCAGTTGGACAGCAATCTACGCAAAATCGCTACACCAAGATTTCCGAAATATCGACTATTCATGTATATCGCAGCATAATTTGAAATTTCGGAAAGAGTGTGGGTGTGAATGTTACTTATCTGCTCACCGCACACCCACACCCTTCCGGTTCGACTTAACTCAGATATCGTCTACTCACAACAAAAAGGCTTCAAACTTGTACTGTGTTTGTGCATCACGACTGTACCTAACAATCGGTGGTCTAATGTATTCTTAACAATTCTTCTTGAACTGCCAAAAGCAGTTCCGTAGCATTTCCTTCCAGCATGCAGCTGAAATACGTTTACATTTCTTTGGAATAACTTTTATAATTCTTATTATCATTTTCAATAGTAATTTGATGGAATCAGAAGTATAATTTGAAGATGAATTTGAGATAGACTATGACGATGGAATTTGGAATGACGAATGAAAAATTGAAGAATTAGTTGCCATCATTAGAATAATAACTAGAATTGAATAGCTTACAGGAAGATGAATATGAAATAACCTCAAGCTAGAGATGAAAAGCAATGACAATGAGTCAACCATTTATTACTGAATGATATGTTGTAGACAATTAGACGATCATCCGTCTGTTCTATGTAGCACAAAACAATGAAGGAAAAACGAGAGTAATGAATTGAAAAATTATGCCGCGTATTAGGAACCGATCGTCATGAATAGAATAAGCGTAATTGTTATAAAGTAAAAACAGAACATTACAAAGAGTTTAAACTAAGTGTGTGAAACAAACTATCCCACGTCATTTGATCACTTCTGACAGAACGACAGTTTTACAGAATAAGAGATAGATGAACCAATTATTTTTCTTCTATATTTATTTACATTTACTCGAATTTCAAAAATCGGTTCGGTTTGGTTCGACATCGTTTTTTCAAGAAGTGGTTCGAGTTCGGTTCGTTTTCAGTCTTTGATGCATAGCTCAACAAAATAAGATCAATTGGTTTAATTACTCTTGTCGACTATAATTACGTCTTCGATTATAACTGGTACAATCTATTGGATGAAACAACATTGAATTCGACATCAAACAGTCAAAAAAGGCCAATTAGACGAACAAAATTGCAATAGTATGCATACTATATTTTTGAATGGATATTAACTTTTCGAAAATGAGTTAATGTACCGTCGAAAAAATCTAATTTGTCTATGTTCGAACTGTTGTTCTAATGATAGAATTTCTTGGTGACAAAAATCTTGAACAGTTCGATCAACTATTTAATATGAACAATTCTACAAAATTCTTAATTCTGCAGCATTTTACCTTATATAAAAAAACGACATCCCAAACACGTGATGTTTTATCAGCCACTCTGAAAAATATCATTTCTAAAAGGCTAATTAAGCAATTAAACTTCGATTTATTAATTAAATGTAATCATGCAAAAAGACAAAAATTATTATTGTAGTTCATCTATTTGATATGAAAAAAAAACCAGCCACAATATTCTTTTGTTATTGATTAGATATAAATTGATGTTATAATAGATCTTATTTTATGTCTTTAATTTGTCTTATTTCTTAAAAGTTTATATTTGATTAATTATTGTCAATGTTATAAGTATTACGAATATTTAAAACTGCATCTTTTAACAATGGTTGTAATCCGAGAAAAACATTTTCATAATGTGTTCTCCAGATTGTTACAATGTTCAGGTATTTTGATGTTAAATTATTAGCTCGACGTTGACTATCAGCATGTGTAGGACAACCAAGTCGTGTAAAAAATGCTTCTGTTTTTGGTTTTAATATATTCTCGATATTTTGTGTGTGTGTTAATAACAATGAAATTGAATTATAATAATCAGTAAGAAAATTATGAATTAATTTAAGATCTTCATTACCAAGAGACACCAAAGGTTTTGCGCTTTCCTTAGGCTTTGTCGATTTTTCTACAAAGTAAAAAGAATAATCGAGAAATATTTTTCATATATATTTTAATATGGATATGGTAGAGAAGTTGCAACTGACGAAAAAATTTTTTTTTGGTCAATTTTCGATCCTTTGGTTTGCTGTGGTATAAAGATTCTCTGACTAGTAGAAATAGCACTTGAACTTTATTTTGCTTTGAAAAAGTGCCACTCCTACTGACTAGTGAACTCATTCAAATGGCATCCTCCGTTTGATATGATTTCTTGCTATGGAAAGATCAATTATATGTGAGATAATGTTCTATAAATAGAGGTGAAAATTATCTTGGCTCACTATTTCTGTTATTCTTGGTAGTATTTTTGCACATCTTTAGAACATTTGTATAAGATTAATATTTATTTAGCAAAGAGTTGTATTTTAGCTTATGAAAATATTCCTTTATTTATATAATAGAGAAATAAAGTTTGCAATAGAATGAACTCTTCTAATATTTTTATCTTCTCTATGAATGCCACCTATGAGCAAAACATGGATTCTAATGAAAAATATTAGCTGAATAGCGTTCCTCATAACCGAAACCAATCCACTGAAAGAGAAACTTTTTAAAACTGAAGATCATTTGACTCAGCTCTTTATGCAAATTTCGAATACGATTTTGATTCTGAACAAAAATGTTTTTTTTTTAAATTTCACTTTGTGAAACTCTGAAACAATGGGTAATATCTAAAACAAACCTATCGCTACTATTCAATGCGCTACCGAATTCTGTTCACTTTAGAGGAAAAAAGCGAATTTTCGGATTTTTATAAAACAAAATTGTTAATAAATTTCGGTATTCATAGCGTGAAAGTTAAATCTCCCAATCTATTCTCAGTCTGTGATAGATATACTGATAAAGCAAAGAGAAAAGTGAACTTGTAGATTTTTTTGAATTTTAAAAATCTAATGTTTGGACGTTAAAACTTTTAGATTTGTAATCTTGGATTTTTACTTTTCGATTTCATATAAGTTTATGATTTTTAACAGGTATAAATTCCGAAGTCCAAAGAAATCTGCATCTTCTCTTCTCACAAACGGTAGGAGACGCACAGTCGGAAGCTTTCACACGCTCATGAAGATACGTAGTATTTTCGTACAAAAACGATTTTAATTTACTCAGGAAATTATTTTCAAGAAAATAAAACTTTCTTCAAAAAAATTTTTCCTACGAAAATTGTTTGAGAAGGAACTCTTTGGAATTAAGCAGTTTCTATATGAGTACCTTGGAATGGACTATTATACTTCGAAACAGTTTCCTTTTTTGTCAGAAATAATTTTATATCATTCAGAAAACACACTTAAGAAGTAAAGGTTAAACCCTTGATTCTGTATATCACTTTAATTTTTCATCAAAGCGTAATATGGATATCTAGAACTGGACTTCTGACCAGAGACTTCAGATTTTTAGGTATCCTCTGAGCTACTATAATAATTAGGGTACATTTGTAGGAATATCTAGTAAAAATACGCGATCGAGCAGACGTTACCTTTCTGTAGGCTTTGCAATATACGGAGCGATAGATTTTCCGGTAGGATTTCGGTATAGAGACTCTTTATTTTCTGTTCGATCATTTTTCTAAATATAATCTGGATCAATGCCTTGTCAGACTGTTTTCTATAGCTTTATAAAACTTTCAGACCCACTATTTTAGAGAATGATAGATCACATATGCTTATATCTGCATAAACTATTAGATGCTAGAAAAGAATATTGTCGTATATGTCCGCCTGACTCTCCGCTGTGTCAAAGATCATGATGAACATTTCAGCATCATGCGCCTTTGACTAACACGGATTATGATAAGTATGAGAAGGATTGTCGTAAATGATTAAAGCGATGCGATTGTGTCTTCTATTTTAATTCCGTAAGGATTGCATTGAAAACTTTCTTTTGGATTTTCGAAGGTTTAGGATATTTTCGACATTCAATGAGTTTTAAATTTCAAGGTCCAAAATTTTCGGTTTTCACCCTGTAATCACATCTACTACAGATAGGTAGAGAGTGGTTTACTTGTCTTGTTATACACTACAATACTCATTAACAATCATATTTCACAAAGTTTTAGTATGCACAACAATGGTCAAACTTATGGAATCCACTAGATAAAATTTATCAATCATGTTCATTCGCTATAAATTCGATTCAATTTCGTCGTTCTGTTTTTGTTAGCCCTTATGTTACTTACTGACTTCGATTGGTAAGAAAGCTACACATGAATCATAATTTCCTTTAAGACTAAAAGAAAAAACGAACTGTTTTCATTTTAGGAAATTATTTTCTGAAAGTACGTACCCAGAAATGAATTCTTCTTTTGTTATCATTTCATCTTTTCCTCTTTTATCAAATTTCATAATTGTTTTAGCAATTAACGATGCAGAACTAGAGTCCTCACCTTTCAACTCTGCTACAGCTTGCAAAAGATGGAATAATTCTTCGCTACTGACTTGTTTTTGATCGTGATGAGCACACATTTGAAAAGTCTTTCAAAAAAACAAAAAACAAAATGTCACAAAAGTCAGTGGAGAAAGTGAAATTGTACAACTCCTCTATTTATCAAAGTTTATTTTTTCGATCAAGTACTATCTTTCGACGCTATTTGTGAAGTTCATTCGTATTAATAAAAAGTTCGCAATGATATCTATCATATGAAATAAAATTAGCTAATTAGTGTTCGAAAAATAAAGGAGTTATACAAATTTACTTTTTCGACGAGATACCTACCATTTTTTATGAATAAACAAAAGAAATTATTCAGAAACATGAGCCTACATTTTGTTAATATTGTACATGCTTGTAGATCTATTTAAACAACATTGGGTTTTCTAGCTAATTAAATAGATTCATACGATATCAATGAAATTTTTTGAAATGTATTGAAAAAGTCGAATCTATCTTTGGTCGTATATTATATATTATGATTGCGCTAGAAGAAATCTATGACTCATTGAAGTTGTTCTATATCTTGAACTACGAATTTTCATATTGGCAAAGTCTTTCTTTCACCTTTAGCCAGGTGTCCACCTTATCTACCTTATTTGTCTTGATATTTTATATCAAGATGAAGACCGATATTCATAGAAAAAATTGAATGAATTTCGAAATAAGATAAATGTCGGAACTATTCTCATTATATAATTAAATATTGTATAAATCAAGAGAAAGTTATTCTGAAGATCTATTTAATTAGCTATTAGCTACAGAATTTTGTGTTGTATGAATAGGTCTACAAACACGCACAGTACTAACAAAAGACAATCTCATTTTGTGAATAACTTCTTTGATTTATTCATAAAAATCATATGTATGCTGTTAAAATGAAAGATCAACTATGAGTATATAGTTTAATTTTAAGATCATCAATTATTCTCATATTTTATTCATCGATCAGTATAACTTCGATAAGATATATGTACATACGAGTGCAAGTTGGTGTTCAATATCTCCTGGCATTGTTAACGAAATGGCTGACATATATTCGTCAAAAGTGATAGTACCACTGTTATTTTTATCGAATATTCTAAATGCATAATTGCAGTAGTACCGTGGATTGCCACTGAATATACAATATAGAAAATATGTAGAATTATAATGTCAATATTTTCAAAGAAAGATTTACCGTGGAAAAAGTTCTTGAAATTCAGCAATAAATTCATCTTCATTCATTTCACCAGTAGGACTAAAAAGTATTATACGATAAGTGAGTAACGCAAAATTAGTGTCAGAAATCGTGTAGATTCTTACTGTGCATCAATAAATTTTTTATGCCATTTTTCAATATCTGAGGGTGTCATGCTGGTAAGTTTGTTTTCGGTTCCAATTACTCGAATTTGGTCTTGAGATAAGTTTACTAGACCGACAAAGTTCAATATATATATATATATATCATACCAACTTATTTTTTCATGTTAAATATTATTATAAATTCAATTTAGGGAAAATAAACTGCGCTTGAAAATATTTCATAAGAAATCTGAGTATAACTTACTTACCCAGTGAACTATGATAATAATCCTTTGTTTTAATAACTCCATGATACGCATGATAAATCACACATCTATCAGGTTTATCATCCATATTGACAAGAAAATCATGGTCAATGATGCGAAAAATCGACTTTTTCTTTTCATTTTCAGCTTTGGATTTATACAAATTGCTAAAAAATCGTATTTGTTGATACCAGTTTCGTACATCATTTTCTTTCCATTTATTTGAAATATGTAATAAATAAACATCATTATTATAATGCTGATTAATAAAACTGTGAATCGATGTTGTTTTTGGGAATAGAAGATTTAAATCTTGTCCTTTCGATTGTTTGTTTTCTTCTTTTCCATCTTCTAAACATTGACGAATTTCATTTAATGAATCAATTTTTATATTGTTTTGCGAGTTTTCTTCCAAAAATTGTTGTATGGACCTGACAGAACATCGATTATTTTGATCGAAATTATCTAATAATTCGATCATTTTCTTTTCATCAACTTCACCTCGTCGGATCTGTTCAAGTAATGTTGCTAATTGACGTTGTGTATCCAATTGTATTATTTTCAAATCGGCTTGTTTAATACTAATAATTTCAATCCAATTTGATGGTATCCAATCTTTCCATGGTTTAACATTATCAAGAAAATCATTAATCATTCTTTTACCTTTAATTATTTGTTCAAAAACATCTTCAAGACGATACAAAATATGCATGGAAACATCTTTAATAATACTAAAATAAGAATACATAAATAATATTATTATTTCAGTTTTGTACGGATAAAAATAAGTTAAACAAAGTTACCGTTCAATAGATAATTTATATTTGAAAATTTCAGCCATTCTTTTCAATGGATATAATTCAAATTCAAGTTGTTGACCTTTTCCATCATTTAATTTTTCCACTTCAGATGGAACTGTTCTGAATATATTAAAAACATCTTCGATTGTATGTGGAACATCTTTAATTTTAATATCGCCAGAAAAACTAATGTTCAATGAACGAAATTTTGAATTTGTTTTATCATCATAGTTCAACTCTGCATCGCCACTAATGTCTATTGTTGGTTTCTTCAAGTATGCTGATAGGTTACCTTGAATTTCTTGAGCTGCTTGTGAAGTAGCAAAATTTTCTTCAAATGTTGCTGCAACATTTGCACCCCAAGTAATTCCAATAACACAATGTGTTGCGTTTGGATTATCTAATGCATCTGATGAAAAATAATTGCATAAATCAGTCATACTAATATGTAAATGTTGTTTTTTCGTTTTCATATGAAGAATGTGTGTTACTCGGACTGTTCGACTATCAGTTTTTGTTTGATTTAAATATTTCGCTGAACCTTCTACATTAAGTAGACCAGCCATAAGACTAACTTTCATTGATGCATCGATATTAAGTTTGTTGAATGTATCTTTTTGAGATTCATTTTCATCAACAATATAAGTTGTATAGGCACAATCCGCTGTTGAAATATATGATGGTGGCAATTCTTGATTGAATAAATTTCTACCTTCGAAACGATCACTACGAATATCATATAAACTTCCAATAAACTCATGTCGACCAATAGCCTGTTTTACAATTGTTTCATTATTTGCGCTCATCTTTCAGATGCCAATTGAGACGAGTGATAAAAAAAACCGGGGATATTATTCGAAATCTAAAAATAAAAGTTATACAATCAAGCATCACAATTACATTTTCCTGCAGCGACTTTTTCACCGATGAAAAATTCCTCTCTGATTTGGAGCATGAGTACTTATGTGTAAGTTTCACATTTCAGTCCTATCAATAAAGAACTGCGGATCGAATGTTTTTGTGGGCTCGGACCTGGTTCGGGACTGGTAGACGACATCCGAACCCGCTTGAAGAGCTCGCAGCTGCCTACTTATTAGGGGCTACACTGAGAAACTTTTTAACGTCTGTGTACGATGTTGATAAATAATAGAAATTGCGGATATTTCGACAATATTGCTTTTTTCCGACAGAACACATCTGTGCAAATATCTCATCTGATTAATTATGACAGAGTAAACAAATTTAATCTTCCGACTTTCTTAAAGACCATTACTAACATTGTCATTTTGGCGATCTCCAATATTTGAAGAGAGCTTTAGTTAATGATGCAATTAAAAAGCGGATGACATTTGAGATGAGACGTAAGTTCGCATTGGATGTGGTGGAGAACATACAGCTGGAGTACGGATATGAGAACAGCTCGATATACTAGTATACTAGCTAGACCCATGTGCAAATTACACCCCTGGTTCTGCTCTCTCTGTCGTCTTTGTTCCTATGCGATATATTGTTGTCTCTGTCTCATTCCCATATGTCCTGTTCTGTAGCTCAATACATGTGATATGCTTACCTTCCTTTGATGTTCGTAGTATGAAGAATTCATTCGTTGGATTGCTGTGAATCCGCCCTCGAAACAAAAGACTTCGAGTCTTCTATTAGGCTCCATTAAAACATTTTGCAATTTTTGGCCATTTTTCTTGTCCAAAGCACAAAATTCCTATGATGCAATCAAGTTCAGAGATTGTTTAGAATGAGAGGATCTTCTAATTGTGGATGGCCAGTTACCGTTTTTTTTTTCAGTTACTGAATAATGGACAATGGAAAATTTGTGAGCTGGACTTTTTTTTATCAAGGGAAGACTATTTTTCGAAGGTAACCAATTTTTTATAAAGTTTTATCGAAAGTTCTTTCGATCGAGGTCTCCGAATTTGTAAGTGGTTTTTCGAAATTTACGAGTTTGATATCTCTATTGCAGAAGATCTGTTTCTCTGAAATGCGAATTCACTGCCAAGTTTGATCAATAGTTTTCGGAGTCCGCGCAACTGCATCTATGATTTTCTTCGAATGATTTAAGAGTGGAACTCTGGTGACACCTGCCTGATTCCGACAACACCATATCCTATCCATACTGAAGTAAATAAAAATCCTACTGGAATGTGATCAGCTAAGAGCTATTTTAATCAGTCAATTAAATTGCAGAAAACTTTTTCTCCGCTATTGTAAGGACAAAACATGGTGCTTTTCGGGCTGCCTGAAAAAGGACCGCAGCTTACTCCTAGATTGGCCCAAACATAATCGCGTTTCATCCGAACAATAATGAAGAAAAACTCTTCTAAAATCTGATTAGCTAACAGATTTTTCTTTGACCCTGAACAAACACTCAACATTATGTATAAAGATTACAGAAATTCGAGTATTTGTAAAAGATGCGATTACCCACGATGATTCCCAAATCGAAAACTGATGCCATGAGTAGATCGAGCTCGACGAACTAATTCTACGATGACCCATGATCATCCAAAAAATTGAAACATAAGAGCGATTTTCTAATGAACACTGATTTTTT